ATGCATCTCCCTTATTACAAGTGATGTTGAACATTTTTTCATATGCCTGTTGGCCATCTGCATTTCCTCTTTGGAGAAGTGTCTTTTTAGCTCTTCTGCCCATTTTTTGATGGAGGTGTTTATTTTTATTGAGTTTCATCCGTTCTTTGTGTATCTTTGTGATCAATCCTTTATTACTAGTTTTGTGTGAGAAAACTTTTTCCCAATCAGTAGGATGCCTGTTTGTTTTCTGTAATGTCTCTTTTGCTGTACAGAAGCTCTTTAACTTGATGTAGTCCCATCTATTTATCCTTTCCTTCACTGTCGTTGCATTGGGTGCTGTATCTTCAAAGATAGTACTGGAGTGTATGACATAATAACCTTTTAAAGGCCCTAAATTAAAATGAGGTTGTTAACATTGGTACCAATCCAGTCTGACTGGTATCCTTATAAGAAGAGAACATTTGGACACAAGCAGACCTAGAGGCATGGACAGAGAGAGGAGAGACCATCTGCAAGCCAAGGAGAGAGGCCACAGAAGGAACCAAACCCACCAACTTAACCTTAGATGCCAGCCTCCAGAACTATTTAAGCCACCCACTCAGTTTGTCTGTTTGTACAGCAACCCTAGCAAACTAATACAGGTGTCAAAGCCTAAAAGGAGTGAGAAGAGCCAGGCAGGGAAAGGATGGCACCGAACTGGGAAATGGGGAGTGAGTTACACCCAGGGAGTCTTGATGAAAAGCTGATTCCAGGGCCAATCTGGGAAAGGACAAGATACTTGAACTCAGAACACTGCCAAGAAGAAAATGATCAAAGCACCATGATAGCAAGTGGAAAGATAACCACACATAAAGGGGCTTTCAATGAGGACAATTTTTTAAAGATTTACTTATTTATGCATACAAGAACTAGGGTACAGGCCAGAGATGTGGAGGGTGAGAAGATTCACCAGAGACAGAGTGGGGAGCAGAACAGGTGACTGACTGAAATACACTGCTGAGGGGAGCAGTGGGCTGAGACAGGAGAGGTCCGCTGGGCTGTGTAGGTCAGCTCCCTGGTGGGGGATCAAACTCATGCTTGCAGTGGCTGTGGAGAGCTTCATAGTGCTGAGACTTAACCTCTTAGCCTCCAGGGAGGGCCCTCCAGCATAATTTTAGTAATAAAATAGATCATGAAATAGGTGTGATGTAATCCACTGCATGAAGTAGAAAACCATGCATCTATGATACAAAAAAAAAAATACAGAAACAAGCAAAATGTTCTACGTTAAGTGAATAGCTAAACTACAGTTTAACTCTACCACTAACTAGCACTCAGAAATCACACTTGACAGAGAGCATATAAAAACTCTCCCTTATATGATTCATTCTGTATTTGTTGCAATACCACAAATACTCAGCAATTCAGACCATTTCAGGGGCATTGTAGTGAGTTAAAAAAGGCAGTCTCTAAAGCTTGCTGCATGATTCCCTTTATAGAACATTCTCAAAGTGATGAATTAGACAGATGGGAAAGCATCAGTGATTGCCGAGGGCTAGGGAGAGTGAGGGGATGAGGGCAGTGGGCAGCTGTGATGGTAAAGGGAGAGCCTGGTAGTGATGGAACAGCACTGCAGCTTGACTACAGTGGTGGTCCCACAATCTACACATGCGATAAATGAATGGAGCGATACACAAAGTACCAATATCAACTTTCTGGTTTTGATATTGCACTGTAGTTAAATAAGGCATAGCTGTTCAGGGAAACTGAGTAAAGGGTATATGTGGAACTTCTCTGTATTATCATTGCAACTTTCTATGGATCTGTAATTATTTCAAAATTAAATTAAATGAATATAGAAAAATTCTGATGAGTAATGGCTGTATACACTCAAGCCTACACACAACAATATACATGTTAATTGCAAAAGATCTATTTCTAAAGTTCAGGGATCTGACACGACATTGAGCAAGAGATCGAAAAAGAATATCATTGGTAATGAGGCAAGTCAAAATCCGCCCCACCTCCTATGAAGTACTGACTAAAAGCAGCATTACTTTCCACAATTTTCCAAATATGTATCTGGAAATAGACAAACTAGAAACAAGGATCATTCTCAAAATTGGCCTGCCACTCTCAAATGTATAAAGATCACATAAATCATGAAAAGAATAAAGAATTGTACCGGAATTGTTTCCTAAGAGACAAAAGACAAATAAATGCAACTCATGACTCTCAGCTGGGTCATTTTTCTAGAGAGGACATTATTGAGACTGTGGGTGAAATGTGATTGGGCCCTGTGGATTACAGGGTAGTAGTGCCAAAATTCCTGCACTGTGTTCTTGGAGGAAAATGTCCCCATCTGGAGGAAGTGTGTACTAAAGTAATCAGAGGTGATAGGCCACCAGGACTTGAGAGATGCAGTAACTCACTGATGGTCACTCAGCTGGCCAGTGAGAAAGCCAGGCTTTAAGCCTAAACATTCTGTCTCCAGATCCTGCACTCAACTGCTATTCTATTTCCTGATTCTCAAGTGAGTCAGGAAAGGCTGTACTTATACTTGCAACCCATTTATAAATTGATTAGTATTTCAGAGTTAATGTTTGAATGTCAAAAAAGCCTTTGACAAAATTAATGAAATCCTGGAATACTTCTGCAAAAATGGCACTTTACATTCAGGCCTCAGAAATCACACTTGACAGAGAGCATATAAAAACTCTCCCTTATATGATTCATTCTGTATTTGTTGTAATAACTAGCACATTCTCCCAACATCAGCTCAAACTTGGTTAACTAAAAGACTACAATTTATTTTTTAAGATGTACTTATTTATGCATACAGAACTGGGGTGCAGGACAGAGGTGACGAAGGACTCACCAGAAACAGAGTGGGGAGCAGAACAGGCAGATGGACGAAGTACACTGCTGAGGGGAGCAGCAGGTGAGACAGGAGAGGTCTGTGGTGCCATGTGGATCACCTCTGGGGGTATCAAACTTGCACTGAAGAGGCTGACTCGCTAGCAACGCTGTGCTTTATTTAACCTGGGGCCCCACCAGGGAGGGCCTAAAAGATTCCAATTTGAATGTCTTGTTCCCTAAGAAAGTTCCAGTAAGAATTTTTCTGTTTCTTATGAGAAAATGTTTGTCCCCATTTTAGATCTATTATAAATGGTCTATTTCCAGACCCTTCCTGGTGACACAACGGGTTAAATTGCAGCACTATGAAGCTATCTGAAGCACAAGTTCAATCCCCACCCAGGGAGGTGACCCATATGGTGCAGCAGACCTCTCCTGCTCCCCTCACCATGTATTTCAGCCAATCCACCTGTTTCGTTCTCCACTCTGTCTCTGGTGAATCCTCTTACCCCACCCCCTGCACCTCTGGCTTGTACTCTAGTTTTTGTATGCATAAACAAATATTTAAAAAATAAAAAAATAAAAGGCCTGTTTCCAAGATCAATTAGACCTGGAAAACTAGGACCTCCTGTCCACCTTTGCTGTTGGTGTTGCCAAGCATAAGCCTGCTCTGCTCACATTTGGGCTCTACCCCTAACCCACATCTAAGAGGACTGGCAATAAGGTACAGTCAGGAAGCTCACTATGAGAATGATGTCATAGGCTACAGTTACCTACCTGACAAAATTCAGTAAGGACTAAGTGCAAAGAGTTTTTGCCTTAATCTCTAATGGCAGCATTACTGTTACAACCTTACATAGCCAAGTATATGGTTCAGTTAAGGGCATGTCTTCATTCTCGTGCTCCTGTCAGCTTATAATTTAGCAACAGAAATTCTGTCTCCCCAGAGTTGACTGGCAAGGGACGATTTTTCACTCATGTGGCCAGAGTAAAAACCTCTATACTGAGCATGTATAAAAATTAATTCTTTAGAAAATAGTATTCAAGTCAGAAATGGGAGCATTGTTCAGTCAAGTGAGAAAACCCAGAACACTCACTGTGTCAGAGCTAGGATGTCTGTGGCTTATTATGGGTTGCTTACCATCCATATTGATTGCTCATGGTGAGCCAAGCAGATTTATAGGTGAGGTACTTCACTGACATGTCATTTGAACCTCATACAAATTCACTGTTCCCACTCTACAGATGGGAAAACTGAGGACCTGAGTGATGCAGTAACTCCCTGGTAGTTGCTCAGCTTGCCAGCAATAAGACCAGACTTTGAGCCTCAAAATTCTGACCCCAGACCCTGCACTCAACTGCTATCTTAAACTGCCTCCCACCACCAACCGTCACTGTGACTCCACACTCCCAGAGCCCCTACAGCATTCAAGTAATTTGTTTATTTAGTAAACTCGGTTCTGGATTCCTGAGCCTTTCCTGTTTTAATAGTATAGTGTTGTAGGGTAGCAGAGGGGTCTCTACTGTGTAGTACTGAGACACATGGTGAAAACCCCAAGAAGCAGACTGCTACTTCAGCAGCTTCTGCTTCATTAAGTATGGCAAAGCAATGAGAACTGTTGCAGTAGACTGCTTTTTTTTTTTGAAATGCTGCCTTCCGAGAAGACCTATTTTTAAAAAAGCATATGCACAGGAGACTGTGTGGACAGCTCACAGGTGATTTGGTGGTGAGGATTTTATGGGGATTATATCTGAGAGGAGAAATCAAACATTATACAAAAGTGAACAACCATGTCAAATAAATATTAAAAATAAAATCTCAAACCAAAACAAATTAAAAAAATTAAAAATGCACGTGTCTGAGCTTGCCTGTGAGCAAGGCACGTCTTTCTGCACAGCAATGCCATGTGGCTTCATGTGTGGCGGCTACTTACTCTTCTGAAGGCCCGCAGTAGCCACAGACTCTATTGATGAATTAGGGTCATAGCATAAGCTTAAGTCCACACTGGTGATTCTGGAGGAGTTGCCTTCCCTTCTTAAGCGCTGACCAATTAATATGGAAATGTGAAAACAGATTTCCAAAGAGCAAACTTGGGTAATAAGTTAGCTCTCACTCAGGTGCTTTCACAAATTATCTTGCGTCAGTCATGTTTTAACATGAAAAAATATATACGCCTCAAGGACTACATTGACTTTTTGTTATCTATAACTCTACTTAAGAGGGAAGACGACCAGGCTCCATCCAACTCCTGCGGAAGACAGGCCTGGCCGCCACGGGTAGCCGACTCACCACTGCCACCTGCTGACCACGGCCCTTCATCCTCCCTCTTCAAGCCCACAGCACAGCTGGGGTGTTGGGTGATGTTTCTCAGTAGCTCTCTAGCCAAGGATACATGTGGCTCAGAAGTGTTGTTGTTGTTGTTGTTATACCTCTGGTGATCTGGATCTTGTTTCTAGAAACCATATTCAGTTGTCATACATAAATGACAGTCAGATTTTGAAGACTTAAATTAAAATATTTCAATGAACTAATGAGGTTTCATTTAAATGATATAGGGAATACCTCTGCTGTTATGGAGGAGTCATCTCTCAGACTTTACTTTGTTCTACTATAACCTTAAAATGTGCAGTTGGCAACAGCAGTAAAAATATTTAGCATAAAACATCCTACATTTTACAATAAATATTAAAAAGCACTTCTGTTACACAATTATCATGCAAGGAAAAACTAAGGCAGCTGCCTGTCCACATCCACACACTATGACAGTGTTACAGCCCAAACATCCAGTTAGCCAAGAGGACACTCCATTTGCACCACAGCAGAACAGGGCTTACCTGTCTAGCCGACAGGTAAATGGGAGGGACTTTGAATTACTATATATAATTTCTGCCTTAAAGTTTCTAAAATGATATTTTTCTAGCATCTACCCTTCTTTTCTGCCCCTAAAAATGATCAAGTTGCTACTTAGAAAAGTAGCATTACTCTAACAACTTTTCTTCTTCCACATGTTAGGTGCTGTATATTGGGACTTTTAGTTTGAATAGACTTGGAGTTCGCCACTTCTCTCTGCTTGGTCTGAAGATTTTACCAAAACACCCTCAACTCCCTCCACCTGACTTCCAGTCCACTCCTGTGCTGATACAGCTCAAGTGCTGGGTGTGCTTGCCTTCCCCTGGAGCTAGGCAGCTTCTGACACTCCTCCCACTACTTCTCACCCTCAGAGTCCCAGTCCTTGATCTAGGATTCTACCTTGTTTCTCTGCCCACCTCTCTAATGGGTCCTCCTTATCAATGATATTGCTTACGCCTTTTCACTTTATCTTACCTCCAATTTCTAAGTCCTTTTCAGGCTTCAAGGTGTGTCTCATCATAGAAGGAGCTCAAAACCAACCCACGCTTTCCACTGCCTAATAGACACCTTTAAGCTATGTACCCTTATAATGCTGGTAATAGTATGATGTGTAACAGTTTGCAACTCACATTCATTTATGTTGTCTACTGAATGGCACAAAACCCTGTGAGACTAGTCTCACCAGGCCCCTGCTAAGTGCCCCCACAGTTATACCTCAAGGAAAGAAATACCCCTTCCCTTCAGTGTCCTGTCTGATGTATATCCTGGGAAAGCACACCAGAGAAGGAAACCACCAAACAGACTAGGTTTATGGAAGCCTCTTCTCATGCCCATTGTCAAGATCCTATTAGAGATTCAACTTTTAGAAGCAAGGTGTCTTAGACAGTGACAAGAGGTAAACATGAGAGTCCTCACTTAAGGTCATATATAGACTCTTGAAAACTGATTTTAAGGGAAACATGTACAATGAAACCAATCCATAGGCTGATTGATGTACATAAGATTTAAGTTTCTACAGCACACCTGTTGTCACAAAAACATCACCTAACTTCTAGATATAGCCCCCAAGGCTACTAAAATAAAACAATCATCTGTATTCACTTTCTAACCTGCTTATTCCAACTCAGGGTTTATGGGTGCCTAGAGCCTAGCAACTCAAGGTGCAAGGAAGAACCTACTCTGGACAAGAGACACTGCCTAGCAGGATACACCATCACCCACACACACTGCAATGGGGACAGGGAGATACATCAAGGGCTCTAACACACCACCTTCAGGGTGTGGGAGGAATGGGCAGGCACCAGGAGAATGCAAATTCCACACACAGTAGCCCCAGCTGAGAGTCAATTTTTTTCTTAACATTATAACAAAAATGATGCTGAATGAAACAATATAATTCAAGGGTTTGCTTTACATCTTGACCCAGAACTTGACTCCAAAGCTCATACTGACCTAGATTTCTTAGCGACAGGCCTTTTCCTGTATTTAGTTCCCTCCTCTGTAAAATGGGGATCATAACTAGCTCACAGGATTATTGTAAACTAACTGGAACATATACACAAGTTTCCTGGCACAAAGAAAGGGCTCAATGAATGGTGGACATCATTCCAAGTTTTAAACCTTTACCTCAGAATCATTGGTTCCTCCCAAAACATCACTGAGAATTTGTATGTACTCAGTTGCACCTTTTAGTATATCAACTTTGCTAGGCTTCCTACTCTGGGGAAGAAATGGTACAAGTGCCTTCAGTTTGGCAAAACCACGGTTGAGATTTTTTATCTGTAAAACAAAAAGGAACAGTGACACAGAGAGACTAATTTATACAGACATCCCCCAAGCCATAGAAGGGGGTTGTGAGGGTCACTGCCACCGCTCTCTTGCATTGGGAACACAAGCATCACTGCCCCAAGGGACAGTGCTGTTCCAGGCAAGAAGAGGAGTGGCACAAGCTGGACCTTGCGGGTAGGTTGGCTGTAAGGGAACAGCATTCGCCTTGACCTCCTTTCCTTTCTGTGTGCAATGGAGTAGGGGTGAAAGGCTGAGTTGATACACACCAGCTCCAGCACTAACCAGTTCTAGGAGAGTGTGAAGGATACTAACATCACCAAGCCCTGATCTGTTTTCCTGCAAAGTGAGAAATGCCCACTGTATAGCTTTTCGTGGTGATTAAGTGACATAAACAAACATATACTAATTCTTCCTAACCTGGCAAAGAAAGTCTTCGATAAGTGGGAACTTTATTGGTAATGAATAAAACCCACACAAGCATTGTGCCATACTCTTCAAGCGCCAGTGGATGATGTTAAATCAAGGGGAGCCCAGAGAGTCTTCCTGTTGGCCAGACTTGAAGTAGAATGAGGCTCCTCATCCTTGTTTAAACTCACCAGGGTCTAATCCTCAGTTCTGAAGGCCCACGTCTCTTGATGGTCATCCTCTGGAAAACACAGCCCCTGGAAGAACTTTCTCCCACTACACCAAAAATTTCACATGCTCACTTATATCTAAAACCCCTTCCCATTCCAAATCCAAGTAGATGGTGGATATAGTTCTATCACAGAATACACGTAAAATACTGAACTTTATAATTAAAGAACTACAAATTAAAATAAAAAATAGATGTCTTTTTTTTAATGTAACAAGCTGGGGTTTTTTCAGCTTTGGGGATAATATAAAAAGGGAATAGCTCTGAACCTTATAAGAAGGGATAAAAATGAGTAAACTTTTCTAGAAAGCAATTGGGCAACTTATATCAAAAAGGGTGAGGTTCTATATGCCCCAGTAACTTCTAGCATCTTATTCTGAAGTAATTATCAGACATGCACATAGATTTAGGCACCAGTACAAAGCTGTGAAAAACATACTTGCCCAAAAGTAGGAAACTGGATAAGGCCCATTTATGTGACAGATGTGTGCCAGGTTAGGAAGAAATATTTTATGTGTCATTATATCACTTAATCAAAAGCTGGTCTCTGAAAGAATGTTTAAGAATGTGAGGGATGTTTTTGTTAATGTTCTGTGAAAAAAAATTACCAGCGAGACCATCACAGTTTTGTAAAATTGTATGTGTACACATGTAGAAAAATTGAACTGGAAGGATAAGTACAAGATGATCATTCATAACAGTTAAACCTGTGTTAAGGCTGTTTCCATTCTTTTCTATTATTTTCCAGGTATAGAAATTTACATCATAAAGGAAAATAAAGGTCATGAGTTTTCAAATAGCAGATAAAAATCAGGACCAATTCTCTACAGAAAGCAATTCCTTACTGGCGGGAAAGTCCACTTAAAATGCAAAGTATTAGATCGGAATCTTGTTTGACAGCCACATCACATCAAAGCACAGCTTTTTTCCAAAAGGGTCTAGTGCTTGTTAAAACCATACTTCTCTGCCCTTGAAATTCCCCCTCTTTCCAATCTTTGCGCCTGCCCTCCTAGACTAAGCTCTTAGTTGATTCTTTCGGGCTACCCGCAGTGTATAGGCACAACCCCGAGACTTAGCTGCGTGCTCCCTCCTTTTCCCACCACCCAGCCTACCCTCTCCAGGACCCCCCTCCGCAGCAACCCCAGCCAAAGATTGCAGGGGGGCAGAACCCACCGCAAAGCAGACCCTGTCGGGCCGGCTTTGCTAGCAGTACTAAAAGCGACCAGTAGAGGCCGCTCCGACCACAGCTCACAGCACCACCCCGCTGGTGAGGGACGCGCCCCTGCCGGCTCCGGGACTGAGGCTTTCTCCACACAGCAGTTGAGGGGGAGTCTGGGTACCCAATGGGGTGGTGTGTCTCCTTACTTAAAAAAAATAAAACAGTAACTCTGTTAAGCTGTCTGCCCTCTCACCACATGTGCTTCCAGGAGGTGACACCGAGCACGCGGAAAAGCGGGTGATGAGAGGGAGCCGTCGGCGCCCCCAGCCCCTGCACGGCACTGACAGCTACGAGATTTCAGCGCGACTCGGCCACGCGAAGCTCCGAAAAAGCATCTGCCCGGCAGACCCCTTTTAAGTGACCCCGCTCTGTGCCATCCCCCACCTCGGCGCGGGCCTGCACTCGCCCGGGGGGTAGCGGGGAAGGTGGCTGCCCGCCCGCCGAGAACCGACAGCTGGGCTGAGGTGGCGGCAACCCGACGCGGCCGGGCCTCAGGAGTCCACGTCGCCTTCGGCCCCCGAGGGCGCCGAGTGTGGGTGCACCCGGCCCACAGCAGCTGCTCGGCGGCGGGCGGCGGGTTCGGGGACCAGGGCCCTCCCGGGACGGGGTCCTGAGGGGCGGAGCCCGGGCGGCCGGGGTCCGCGCGGGACAGGGGCTCACCCGCTCGCGCTCCTTGGCGTTGGCGACGCGCCGCCGCTCCAGCACCAGCTGCAGGTCCTGGGTGGACGAGTAGCCGCCCGAGGACAGCCGCCGGAGCCGGCAGATAGCGGCCAGCTGGGGCAGCGGCCCGAACTGCTCCCGCAGCACGTCCTCCAGCACTTCGGCCTGAGGGGCGCCCAGAAGGAAGGGCACGGCGTCCATGGCTGAGCGCGCC